GTTCACAAACCACGGCCAAGTTTTTGACTAAATGAGAGGAAGTACATCTAGTGTAGATGGAGCATTCATGGTGGCTAAGTGGTTCACAAGGGAGCAGCTCAGGCTTGAAACATGGCCAGGTTCATTGTGTTGTATTCTTGGGTACAGTGCCTCTCTCTATCCAGGTGTAAGGATGCGTACCACCAAATTTAATGCCGTGGGTAACCCTGCGATGGACTAGCATCTCAGTCAAGGGGTGGGGGGGTTAAGAATACTCCTAGTCACTTCATTGTACAGACACTGGTGATAAGTGCTGGTCTGAATGGCTACTAGGCTGGAATGTAGACTTATCCTACCTATATGTACTTGTAGTACAAGTCTTTCTGTTTAATATGTATATAATTATAGAAATTAAACTTGCATGGTCAAATTTATGAACAGCTGGGAGAAAAAGGAATTCTAGCTAACCCGATTTTGTTTTGATTTTACAGCCAATGTCGGAGGTCCAAACTTGTGGGAACCACATAGCATTTCCTCACTAAACAGCATCAGAGTGCAGCATGTAGCATCAGGACCAAGTGCTTGTCACAGCATCATCATCTGTGACGATGGAACTGCCATGAGCTTCGGTGGGTACATGTATACTGTCGATTGGATGTTTAATATTTTTTTTTTTTTTAATACAGTAACAAAGGATCAGGTTCAAACTGAAAAAACCTTCTGTGAGGATGGCGTGGTTCAACTGATATTTTAAAAAGTTGATCAGATGCTAGAGCCAAACATGCCATCATTATCCTTTTTGTCGTATTTGATTCTTCATTGATCTATCCTCCTCCAGCTACTTTTTATCATCATGAACATCACTATCTCTATCATCATCATCATCATCATCATAGTCATAATCCTCATCGGAGCTGGCACGGCATTGTCATCATCATCACCCTTACCATCATCAGCATCATCATCATCATCATCATCATTACATATGCCATAAACATCACCATAACCATAAATATCATCATTATCATTCATGTGAGCATGCTGCAGAGGCAACCACTACATTCAAATTATGCACTGCCCACTTGCAGTCACATACATGTAACTGTTGCTGGTGTAAGCCCTTCTAAATGAGCTTTTGAACTCTTATGGCAGAGCATTATGTTAAATATGTGTAAAGATAACTTAAGGAGAGAGTCCAAAAAATCTTTAGTGAATTTTGCTCTTTCGTGGGATTCACATATAGCTGTAACTAACTCTTGCATTTCATAAGGACGCAATGATTGCGGTCAGCTTGGCCATGGAGATCTGGTGCGCTGTGACAAACCCAAGATTATTGAGAGTCTGAAGCATTATACTGTTGCTCAAGCTAGTTGTGGAAAAGGGCACACTCTGTTGCTTACAGGTGCGGTTCATTTAGTTAATACATTTGTCTGTTCATTTATCATTTCCCTATTATATATTTAATATCTCATTTAAAGTAAAGAATGCTGAAATTCAATACAGTGTGTTTCCAGTATTTGAACATCTGACAGATATCAATAATAATTTATGAAATGCATTGTATTTGTTGGAGCTTGATCAGTATGGGCAAAGAAAAAGGCAGGCAATGAGTGAAGTGTGTGGGTGTATTATCTGTCAAACAAAATTCAGACTTCAGCTCACAAACACAGTTCTGAAAATTATGAGAAGGGCACATTTGACAGTTACAAAATCCAAGTTACTAATCAGACTGTCTAATAAGAATTCATTTGGGACTAACGCAGTTGGTGATGCAGATTTAATTTTTTTATCATTACATTTCTCGTTTTATCATCACTTATAAGATATATTTTATTGATTCTTGTTTCAGCTGAAGGTATCCTATTTGGCTTTGGAGGAAACAAAATGGCTCAGTTAGGACAAGGACACCAAAAACCTGTGGTGGCAAAACCAGTACAGGTAGTACATGTAGTTTATTGATGACTTTTTTGTATTATATTTTATCTGCTAAGGTGCCTGTCGAGGCACTGAGCAAGCTTAAAAGGGATTCAGATTGGAATATTTAAAGCAGAACTAGGAAATTCAGAAACAAGATGCTGTAGCAGGCTAGCAGTTATCGCGACAACTTAGGGGAGCAGGATGTGACCCGTCGGCCCTGCCCTTGTTTCTGGGTAGGATATCTTTAGCACAAGGTTTTAAAGATTCGCCATGAGGCAGGTGGGCATACAAAAGAACACTAACCCACCACCTAACCATCCCCCTAAAAAATTGGTAACCCATTCCCTAGAACTCCAATACAAATAACAATGAAAACCAAAAAAAAAAAAAAGAAATCAAAAAAAAAGTCAACAAGAACACCGTGTAGCAGTATTGGCACAACGGCGCTTAGCACAGACTAACTTATATGAACGAATCTCATCTTGATTTGAACACCAAACTTAATCTATTATAAAAAAAATTAAAAAAAAACCATTTTAACTTTTTCTTAAAAGGTACTAACTTTACCTCCGACCTTATAGATAGGTAATGCATTCTGCAAATTAGTCATTCGTATGAAGAAAGAGTTACGGAAAAGAGATGAGAGTTACGGAAAAGGTTATGACATGTGCAAGTGGAGACTCCGCGTAGATTTGACCCACCTCAGTCAGCAAGACTTATTGTACGAGTTATCTGAGCGGTCCTCTTCTGACTATCATAAAAGTACGATTAAGAATATCTTTTAAGCAGTGCCAAGCGCGGGAGAGCATTGTCGACTTCCCGAAGACTGAAACAATTTGTTTTTCTTAATGGTTAAACTCCATAGAGTGAACTCTACAGCTAACACTTGCTGACTAAAGGTGATACATGATTCCTTTAGACTTTCGCGTTTTCTAAGTGAAAAATTGTTCGGACTAATCATTTGGTCTTGTAAGGACACTTTGACATTCGAAGATGATCTGAACAATAGGAAAATGGATGTCTTTTGATACAGTGCATTATGATCACAAATAGGTTGACACTGATGGCTCAGTTCTTCATAAACTGCTGTGAAATACAGTATGTTCAAGGTATTAACCACAGGACAGACCAGCTGGTCAAAACAAGTATACCATAGCTGTTGTTACCTTTAACTAAACCTCTTATTCGTCAACTACCTCTAGTGATTACTCTAATATTGAATTCCGTTGCGCGTTGTTCCTTTCCACACAAAGATTGTTCACCCAACCAACAAGAAGATCTTGAAGACAGCATGCGGGGCTGAATTTAGCGTGTTTATCGATGAAAACAACCTTCTGTATTCATTTGGTCGACCGGAACATGGTCAGCTCGGACACAACACAGATGGGCAATACTTCGTCACTTCCAACAAGCTTGCTTTTGACTGCGAGGTTCTTCCACGCCATGTGGCAGTGTTTGTAGAAAAGACAAAAGATGGCTTCACTCACATCATAGATGATGTGAAAATAGTGGACGTAGCTTGCGGCAATAACCACACGGTACAGTATTAGATTTGTTTTGACCGTAGCTTTGTTATTTTTGTGATTTTCAGGGAACTGTTTACGACTAACGAAGAGCCCGAATGTTTTTGCCTAAAGAAGGGGTTTTAATTTTCCATTGAAATTTCCTATAACCGTTTGAAACTTTGCAAGTCCCAAGTTCTTTTTTGTTTCTTTGTTGGTGGAAATGGTATTTTATTTTGTTGTGTTGCCTAATTGGTCTGTTTGTTTTGCAATATTGTGTATAAACAGTGATAAAGTGTTGGTTTCCTAAAAAATGTCAACACAAGCCAAGCAGGTAGTGTACATGTATATGAATTAAAAACCGGTTCAATAACACTACAGGGTTTTTTACTTTCAGATTGAACGAGATACTACAGACCGCGTATTTACTTGGGGCTTTGGAGGTTATGGCCGGCTCGGTCATCAACAGCCAAAAGATGAGCATATACCTAGACTAGTTACCTTCTTTAAAGGCAAAAGTGAGTGCAAACCAGTTCTTCGTTAAGTGCTGTTTTATACACTGCAAAACAATTTACTGGTCCTGTCGGGTTAGGTTATTTTCGGAGTCTATTAGATATTTGTTTGCGAAATCTCAGGTTGAAAGACGTAAGGGATATGCTAAGATTCGATCGAGCTGTATGACTCATTGTATTGCTAACATTTAAACTTTGTTTGAAGTATTTCACATCTTTCCTTTGCTAGTCCATTTTCTTTCGCATTGTGCACTTCTCATAAACATGTCCCCCTTCCTTGACCAAAAAGTGGAAGAATGGGAAGAGGAAAAAGCTGCGGGGTGAAATACACATACAACTGTGTCGTTCTCGCTTTTTCTTGTTTTCAGTTCTCGCGCGACAGGCTGAGAGAAAAAAGGGATGTTCTGGGAGTGTGTAGCCCTAATACCCCCAGCCTTTTTCTGAGGTTCTCTTTGAAATTGAGGACAATTTTGCTCTTGGCACATAGTGACTTAGTCTAGTGTGACATAGCTTTTGAAGACGCTATTTTAAATTTCTCCAAGAAATGCACGGACAATAAATTTATTGTTCATGGTTGTAATTTTCTAGCCTGCGAGCAGGCTCACTTTGAGTCACGCGCGCGAGCGGCGAACCGGCGGGAAGGAGTCTGGTGAAGAGGCGCCAAGACGGCTTCTCGTCTGGCGCTGCTCGATTTCGCGCTGGCGGCTCAGCTGTGCGCGCTTGTGCTCCAACGTGAGCCTGCTGGCAGGCCAGTAATTTTCTCAATCCATCTCCTCAGGTGTTTCGTCAGTTCACGCGGGCTCAAGTTACAGCTTGGCTTTAAGTTCGGGTCAGCTGTATTTTTGGGGCTTGACCAAGAGTACGGGTGACGCTACCATGTACCCTAAACCCGTTCGGGACATGTCGGGATGGGACGTGCGGAGTGTCGGGTGTTCGTAAGTAGCCGAAATTTTGCTTGAATGTAACTATGATTTGGCGTGCTCTGTAGGTTCTCTCTATAGATGGCTGCCAGTTATAAATTCAAACTAGCGTGACTAACCTCGTTTTTGAGTTGATAATTCAAAAGAATATTTACTCTCAAACGAGTTTAGCGAGGCTGATTTAAATGCATACAAAAGAATTTTAAATTGGCAGCCAGTTATGAAGAAGGTCTATCACGTGTGATATACTAAATATGTTGAAGATGAGTAGTAGGCAGAGACAAGCGAAAACAAACCACGCAAAAACCGTTCGCAAAACCGTCTAGCCTGTGGCGCAGTTGAGAAAAATATGCGAGCGACCGTCCGATCGAAAAGCACGGACTAACATGTGAGTATTGATGGCAAGCGCTGCACAATCAGTGACCAGTGTGGAATAACATGTCAATAACTGGTGGTAAAGGCGGGAAGACCAAGTCAGTTATCGATGTCAATCGCGGTTAAACAAATAACATTGCCAAATAAGGTGGCTCATAGCCTATTGTGTTGACATGACAACCTTTTAGCTCCAAGGGGTGCAGTGAGGGCATTGAGCACAACTGTTATGCACCAATTGTACAGCTCGATAAACTAGTTATACAGCAGATGGTGTTGACTATCGTAAATGCATCTGTTTACTTTTTTAACAGTAAAACANGACATGTCGGGATGGGACGTGCGGAGTGTCGGGTGTTCGTAAGTAGCCGAAATTTTGCTTGAATGTAACTCTGATTTGGCGTGTTCTGTAGACCCTTTCCACAATTGGCTGCCAGTTATAAATTCTTTTTTTAAGTATTAAAAATTAGCCTGACTAACCTCGTTTTTGAGCTGTTGTTTCAAAAAAATATTTACTCTCAAACAAGCTTAATCTGGCCAGGCTAATTTCAATGCATACAAAAGAATTTTTAATTGGAAGCCATTTATGAAAAATGTCTATTACGTGTGATACACTTTATATGTTGAGGTTGAGTAGTAGGCAGAGACAAGCGAAAACTAACCACGCAAAAACTGTTCGCAAAACTGTTCGCAAAACCGTCTAGCTTGTGGCACAGGTGGGAAAATATGCGAGCGACCGACCGATCGAAAAGCACGGACTAACATGTGAGTATTGATGGCAAGCGCTGCACAATCAGTGATCAGTGTGGAATAACATGTCAATAGCTGATGGTAAAGGCGGAAAGACCAAGTCAGTTATCGATGTCAATCGCGGGTAAACAAATAACATTGCCAAATAAGTTGGCTCATAGC